GATTGCAGTGGTCGGGCCTTGGTGGGGGCCCCGAGACCCCCGGCGCTCCCACCCAGGCCCGACCACCGCAATCTGCAAAAAATCTGCAATCACAAGTTCCATCCGCAACAAGTCTGCAAAAAATTGCAATCCACCCCCGAACCCCATCCAAAAAAATCTGCAAAAGTTCTGCAAAAATAATTGTTTTGCAACATAGGGTCTGTGCCAAGCACATTGTCATAATCCTATGGCCTTCCTGCTGTTGTTGAGTTTGATGTCCCGTGTTTAGACATCCTGGGTAGCTCACCGTGTAGGGATGGCCTCATCCGATACCCATGAGGAAGATCCTGCACTACTTAGGTCCGATATGTGGATCGCATATTGTCTGGTGCTTCGATCGCCGACTCCGGAATACAAAGCATCCTTTGCTTGCCGTCCATTTTCAGGCATCGTCCATGTGCCAACTTTGATTTTGTTGTGGGGATGGGACAGCTTTTCCATTTGCTGTTCACATCCCACCCCTGTCTTATAGATTTCCACCTCCCACGCTTAATCAGTGCATGCCGAGACAGTGGAAAATAAAACAGTGAATATGAGAGGTTCGCATGCATCTTTATATTCAAGAGAAATAACTGCTATGCCAAGCAAATACCACAATACTAATGCTACAAACACCACGATTGTGTGTCGCAGATGTCAGTTGATTTGCAGGCAGTCCTCAACGACAACTTCTGTTAAGTTTACCAGGCGGCCCTCGTAGAGAGAGGACAGCATGGCACCTGCGCGCTGGACTTCCCAAATCATGATCAGCTACACCCAAATCCCTGAACGTCAACGAAACGCGTAGAAGAAGCAAACCCTTACTAAGCTCGTCCTAAACCCTAAACCCTAACCCCTAAACCCCTAAACCCTAAACCTAGAACTTCCAGGATTCCAGGGCACTTAGCTGGCCGTTGTTCAAGAAGAGCTGGACCACGAGTCCGGGTTGCGCAAATGGGGGCAAGATGACTTGGAGATAGCGACCGAAGCACTGGACGGGAAAAGGCTTTGATGCCTTCCGCGAAACAACAGACTTTCAGAATAGCAATGATAATGCGGATGATAACAATAACAACAATGATCACCATCATAATAATCAGAATAATGTTTCAGTCAGAATCTGCGTGAGAATGAATATGCTCACGACATGTTCAGTCTGCTTGATCTGAGCTGCATCCACACCAGCTGGAAGCATGAATGCTTGCTGCTGCATTGTGGAAAGCAAGTTTGCCAAGGCCAGCGAATCTGTCCCGAACAAGTTCCTCAGAGCTGAACGAGTCCACGATGAGAACTCCACACACTGCGATGCCGTCCCAGGTGGGCAGCCGGCTACTCTGTCAGCACTGGCAGAAGATGCGCTTCCATGCGCGGAAACCCTAGACTCCCTAAACAAAGCCCCTCTAAAGTCCTTTTGGGGACCCTGAAAAGCGGAAGAGAAAAGCAGCAACTGTTAGAAAGCCCCTAAACCCTAAACCGTACACCGAGCTGCAGCTGCTGGCCCCAGAAGCGGCGGGGGACAAATAACTCCCGCGCTGGATCTCCGCCATCGAACTGGTAGATCTTCGATGAGAGCCTCAGAGTGGCGATATCTCATCAAAGTATCCAGGAGTATTGGGTGCACAGTACAGGTTATATATACATATATAGACACTATATTAAATATAAATATGTAAATATAAATAAATCAAACAATCAATAAAAAAAATTATACATATATATATATATATATAGGTGTATATATATATATAGGTGTGTATATATATATAGGTATATATATATACATATTATATACATATATAGGTATATATATACATATTTTATATATATTTATATTTATATTTATATTTATGTTTATATTATATATATATATATATTTATATCTATTTATTTATTTACTTATTTATATGTGCCATGTGCACACCATGCAATCACAAGACCAGCAGGCCTCTCATACTTGTATAAGTCAGGCTGTTCACTCGGGCCTGGGATGCTCAAATCACCCTGCCGAGCAGCTGGGCGAAGGAATCCTGAGCTCCCAAAGTTAGGGCCGTGAGGGTTTAGGAACTTTGGGTTTAGGGTTTAGGGTTTAGGGTTTAGGAACTTTAGGAACTTCGGGTTTAGGGTTTAGGAGCCCCGACCCTGTTGTAGGGGCCCTAATAATTAGAGCAGGGTTTTGGGGCCCAATATATTATAACTATGATAAGGAGCCCCCAAAAAAAAAAAAAATATATATATATATACACATAGTGTAGGTACTTATTTAGGAACCCCAACCCTGAACCCAAAGTAAACTGCCACCAGTCAGGTGAAGGCTGGACAAAGCCCAGAGTTCTCCCTACCCAGCACCCGAGGCTGGATGAGCACTATACGGCCACCAAAAGCAGATCAAGCTTCGTATGTCTTCAATTCCAGTCCGTCTGCGCCATCCCTGGACCAAAACTTCACTGCTGCAGCCTCGGCTTGCAAATGGGTCTCAACTTGAGGTATCGGGGTTCTTTTGGTGGTTCTGGACAGCTTCTATAATCCATATGTCAGCTTGAAGGCAATAGCCTCACAGCACCGCCCTCCTGACAGCGCCAAGGGATGGCGTCCGGGTGCAGGCACCTGACGGAACTCCTCCTCTGTGAAGCCTCAGCGTGGGATTTTAGGGATTTCAGGAATTCCAGGGCGGCTCTACCCAAACAGAAAGGAGTCGATTCACGAAGTGTGGAATGGCACGCCAGGCGGTGCCCGTGCGCCCTCTCGGCTGCCGGCTCTTTTCTGCATGCAAACAAGGGGCTGAACACGACCACGCCCTCACCTTCACACCGTTTCTACTTGGGGCCAGCTTCTTGGGAGGGAGCTCTCAGAGTGTGTCTAGCTAGTCAAGACATGCGAGACGAAATCGCACGAATCAAAAGGTGGTGTCGAGGTACCTTCCGGCGCATTCCTCAGATATCACACCAAGCACCCTGGCTGAAGGACGGTGTCTTGAAGAGCTCGGGTAGCATCGAACTCAAGGATGCATCCAAGGAGCACCACAATCGGACCACGCTCATTCTGCAATTCCACAAGGATGAGCAAGTAGATCTCCTGCGCAAAAAGGCTCGCTAAACTTGCTTCTGAGCTCAATGCGAGTGCCCAGAACATAGATTTCCTCTGCAGTGCACCCGAAGACCAAGGACCATTTCCTATAAATTGACCGAGTACTTCACGCCAGGTCAAGAGTGGACCACGATGCGATTCTCCTGTGCATCTGGGAATGCCTCCTTCAGGGTTTGCCGCAGCCGCTGAAGTTGGCCTTCAAGTGATGGGCTACGGCTACGATGCAATGTGCACCTTTCGATCAAACGGAACAGTGAACTGTTACCAGCCAAGAATTGAAGTACTCATTGCCAGGAGGCGGAGTTCGCGTGTAGAGTTGATGATCCGCACGAAGACCCGCGGGACTTTCGTTGGCACGTCTCCCAGTCCGAGGAAACGGCGAACACGACGAGTCATGTCCTCCAGTGTCAGTGGCGCCTCCAAGTTGTGGTGCCAGAAACTTCCACCCCATCTCGTCCCTCCGAAAACCACATGCTGATCCACCATCTGGTATGTGGAGTATGTCATGAAGTCTTCGAACTTCATGTCTATGCAATGGAGGACGCCCTCCAAAGAGCTGCGTGTCCAGTCAAAAGGGTACGAGTTCTTTCGAAGTCCCATAAGCTGGAGTGCATAAGATGGTGCACAGTAACAGCCAAGACCGATAAATTCGCAGCGGTTCATGAAATCGGTGGCGCGTGGTCCACACACGTTTAGACTTGCTCGGCGCTCTTCTGGTGTCATCTCCGGAATGAAGCTGTAGCCTTTTTGACTGCTGGGATCCTCAGATGGTGTACATTGCAAATTATGTTTATAGGCTTTAGGGTTGGGATTAGGGTTTAGGGTTTAGGGAGTTTAGGGTTAGCAGGGGTTATCAGGGTGGAGCGAGGCTTGTGGCGAAGATTAAGCTGCGACTGGGACGCTTCGAGGTGAGCATCCCATGGTTGGTTGGCTACCTGATGGGCCTGCGATGTGCCGGAGGCGGCCTGCGCAGCCTGTATCGCGGCACAGGCCTGGCAAAGACATCGCCGCTTTTTGCCAGGGGTCGTGCAATTCATGACTTCTGCTACGATCAAACTCATGTCGAATTTGGAAGCTGCTTCCTGCGCTTGGACGCTGCCATGGTCGACCACGGAGGCAACAGCTGCCTCTGCTGCAGCAGCGACTGCAACGACCTGCAGCACGCGCAACGCTGGCGATGCTAACATGTTGAAGGCTTGCCCCGATGTTGGCTCCAAGCCTTGCCCCGATCACATCCAACTACTTGCCAAGATGCTGCAGCTCCAGCTGCTACTGATGCTGTTGCTGCCAAGGGTGTGGTGTTGTCCTGGCTTGGAACATGAGCAACACCGCAACACCCACTACCCACCGCTTCAATGGTGCGAAAATTGCGATGTCATGCAAGGTTGTCATTGCTGAAAGGTGTTCTGGCCAAGTGGCTGTCACTCCAGCTGCTACTGAAGCGGTTGCTGCCAATGCCTCTGGAATCTCTGTAGATGCCGCCGCCATGAAAGTTTAGATTTTGATTCAGTTGCGTCTTGAGCCATCCAGCCACAAAAGCACAGGGAGTCAAAGATCACAAGAAGTAGTCCATGACACAAGACACAGCCGATGTCTCGATGCAGACGCCGGATCTTCTGAGACCGACTTCAAGACCTATCATCATCGAGCCTGTTCTTCACGAAACCACCTGGAAACCCAAGATGACGGGTTGGCACGCACTGGACACGTGATAGGTTCGGACGTAGGATGTAAGGCCTGCACTGCACAGCTCCTTCCCACAGCCTCTTCGAAGTACGGTAGCGCCTGCATGGCAAACACTGCAGTGCTGACAAGAGCTGGGTTCCTGTGGTGCGAGAACTGCCGCCTGAGACGTGACCCTGAAAAGTTTAGAGCATCATCACGGTCAGCATACCTCCAGCTGCAGGGGGCAGTTTCGAGTCAGGCTCAAGAAGTTACGCAGAAAGGTCCCGGGCTGCACGTCTGCAATGATTCCAAAGCTGAAAGCTGGCGGAACCTGGCCCATGCAGCGGAGTCACACTGCCATTCATGGCTTTTCCTTACTGCGACCGTCCTTGCTCTTGACTTTTCACCAACTCAAACCTCTGGTCGCCTGGTGTAAGATCTTTAAAATCTAAGTCGCGTGAAGCACGTGCGATGAACAAGCGAGAACCTTGCAGCACATGAAAGCGAAACCATGGAAACAATCAAGGCCCCCTTCGGAGTTCTAGGACTAGTAGAAGTTAAGACTTCAATCCAACCCTAAAGCCTAAACACCTACAATCCTGAATCCTAAACCCCCCTAAGCCCCTAAACCCTATACCCTCCTAAACCCTAAACCCTAAACCCCTAAACCCTATACCCTCCTAAACCCAAAACCCCTTAACCCTAAACCCTCCTAAATCCTAAAGCCTCTAACACCCCTAAAACCCCTAAAAAATCCTACCTCATCGACTCGAAGTCTCGGGGTTTCTGCCTTCGCCGAGCTGAATCTACAGCTGGCCGTGCTCGCTGTCTTTCGGCTCTGCCTGGCTAGGTTTGGGGGAGGGGGGGGGGGGGGTTNNGTTTAGGGTTTAGGGTTAGGGCCTTTTTTACGGGCTTTTTAGGGTATTCTTTTGGGGGGGGCGGTTCTGAGGTTCAATGGCGTTTGGGCGTTGTTCGGATTTAGGCTTCAGAGGGTTTTGGTGTGAGAAATTGAGGTGCAGGGATGTGCACCTCAGTGCCCCCAGCCCTGAACCCAAAACCCTAAACCCCTAAACCCCTAAAAACTAAACCCCTAAACCCTAAACCCCTAAACCCTAAACCCAACACCCCTAAACCCTAGACCCTCCCAAAGGGGCAGCGGGTTCTTTTACCGTCTCCTCTTGCTTGGCTCCCGGCCGCACTCCGAGCACGGAGAGACCAGCAAGGCAAAGGCCCCTTAGACCTGCTTAGGGCCTAGGGGTTTGGGGGTTTAGGGGTTTAGGGTTCAGACCTTAGGGTTTAGGGTTCAGACCTTAGGGTTTAGGGTTCAGACCTTAGGGTTTAGGGTTCAGACCTTAGGGTTTAGGGTGAAGTTGAGGGCTTTGCTGTGGGGTTGCTTTCCTGATGGACTCGCCATGTGGGCACCCGGGAAGCAAAAAGAGAATGCTGCAAAGAAATCCCTCATTTGTAGCAGCATGGACTATAACTACAACGGCCTTCCAACACGGCCATCGCCTTCAGAGATTCTGTTGCCGGCCTGTCCTGTACACTTATTGACATACTTGTCTACCCCATATCATGACCAAACCCAGAAGGTGGCTGTGACCATCTGTGACCCGAGAGCGGTGTCGGGCAACTCATCTATCATGGATGGGCGCTCGTATCAGTGATGCCTGAAGCCCGATGGGGAAAGCTCCTAAACTCGGATTTGTCACTAGAGTCACTCGAGAGTCGAGAGAGGCCTCCTTGAGGGCTACGGCTTGAAGGATGTTCGAAGCTTAAACATCCACGCTCTCGGAGCCTATGGCCCCAGGTCTCATGTCAAGAAAACACGGCTCCACCATACCTTTGGCAAGCAAGTGCTTCGATTTCGTCCACAGACTTCCCGCAGACCCAACTATTCTGCTCAAACTACCAACCCCTAATAAGAGCCAGGGCTGTCCCCGGCCTTTTCGCGACTTCAGAGCGCGATCGCGAGTTGAACATGTTGCTCCTCCTTCCGCCAGGTAATTTCAGACAATCGGGGACCCAAACAAAGAACCGAACTTGTACGATCTTCAGCACAAGGATCCCCAGAAAAGGATCTACTGTTACATGCCCCCACCATTCTTAAAACCCCAACCGCAACCTGGGCTGACGTGTCCTGCTAAACACGGGACCGGAGCAATGCATGCCACAGCCGGGGTCAGCTGCATTATTTGGTAAAAAACGAATAATCGTGGGTTCTGGGCTGGGTTTAGAACTGCGGCTTTTCGAGGCTGAAAGGATGATCATCGGGTGGATCACTAGGAAGGCTTTGAAGATAAGGTATGGTATGAAGGGGAGTGCAAGACTCAGCGGTGCGGCATGCTGCCGCCCCTGCTCGAAGCCAACATGGCCACTCGACATGCAGAAACACCCCAACAAATACGAGCTTCGGTCTTCGGAGTTGTCCTGCTTGTGCAACAGCACGTACAACTCGAAAAGCTGCACAAACGAGTGGCATTACAAAGCGGCGGCTCTTGCGGAACTACCCAAGCACGCTGCGCCCCCTGTTTCTGCGGCTCTCTTTAGCTTGGGTCCTTCTGCTCAACAACCGCAGCACTGCGTGCTGCCAGAAAGCGAGCACTTGCGACGTGGTTTCTGCCTGAAATGCCCGCATGGCCTTGCTTCGCAGCTGCAACTCTCCGTTGCTTGCTGAGTGCAGCTGAAGCAACAGATCCGGAAAGCTGGCGAAGTAAGCCATGTGCGGCAAACGAGCAATGTCCGAATAGGAGGCCCAGTAATGGCACCGCGCCGGGTCGATGTGCCTTAAGCCCTTCGTCGCGCAGAAGGGCGGCGGATGTGGCCAAGTTTCGGACGCGTTCTGTGCAATCGCAGGCTCCATTACGGCAGGATCAGACACGGTCCAGCTGAAGGCCCACATAAAGAAGTCAGCCGGCAAGTACAATGGAACACCCATACTGTACAGCTCCAACAACTTGATGAAGTGTACATCGTATGGGAAAACAACTGCTGCTCGATGCTCGGCCAGCCGTTTGTACCGGTCTTTCCGGCCACTTTTCCAGGCTGGCACTTCCTCAAATCCCACCACTTGCAGCTTGCGAGTCCCTGCATTCAGAGCGCTGAACTCCTTGAGCAGTGGCAGGAAGAAAGGCCGGTGCAACTGCTGCTGCACCACGAGGATCCGGGAGAGGTCCTCCTCCTGAGGGGCCCTCCATTGCCATCGTGCTGTTTGGATGGCCAGGTATCTCGCCACTGGCAGCTTCAACCCAGTTTGCCACAGCACCTCGCAGGACTTCTCTGGAAGGGGGAACGAAGCGACAGCTAGGCCGGCGACCTGCAGTTGAAGGAACGCAGTGTCACCTGAAGCACTGCAGCACGTGAGCTGCAGGCAGCTGCCGAAGCTGGCTCTGGGATCCCGGCACACGAAAACATTCTTTGGGTCCTGAGCCTTGGGGCATTGCGTCATACGAAGTCTCCCCTGCACGAGCCCCGGCTTCTTAGGCCAACCCTCTACATGGAGACATCTGTGAAGCACTGAGACAAGCACCAGCTCACGAAAGTCCCTGAGCCTGTCATACGGGGAGTTGCTACAGTGGTGATGTCTGAAAGCATAGCATAGCTTAGGATGCGGCCACAATGTCCTGAGGTGCGGCTGCACGAACAGGAAGATGGGCTGGTCCTGCATCTGAGAGTCTGACAATCCGTCAAACGCTTCCCGAGTTGAATCGTAGAGCTGCACAAAAACTTCGCTTCGGAGATACTCACAAAACTGTTTTCACTTTCGGTGCGCCAAGCTACGGCTTTGCGGCGGTAATGGCAGCAGCAGTCATGTGCAGAGAGAAGTTCTCGGACAGTCAGAAATGCTACTGCAAATCTACATTTAAATTGCATTCTACATGCACGGACTCAGAATCAAAAGACAAGAATACTGGACCCTTCTCCCCCGTCCATCACGCCGAGGATTGGCTTTCGGAAATGTTGGTACAGCTTGCACCAGTAGATTGGGATGGAACCTCACTCATGCAAGATCACACAACATTGATTCCCTGCAACTTTGTCCGGGCAGCGAAACTTGCATCAGAGACTTTCGCACTGGCTGCATCGTGATGGCTCTAGGAGGCTGACACATGAAGGCATCCACCGTCCGCAGCGAACTTCGGAACCTAAAGCTCAACAAAAACACTATGAAATCGCCTTCAGATACGCCCCGGTCCTTGCTGAAGCTGATCGAAAGACGCTGAGGAGTCCCAACTGAAGCCAAAGCGCTATGCGAGGACTCGAACCCCAAACCCAAAGCCCTGAAGCGCCGAAGCTTCGGGGTCAGAAGCGGGCTCAGAAATTTGGGGACACTCGGAAGCCGCAAGGCGAGGGGGTCGGGCCCCCGGCAGGTGGTGGAACTCGCGTGCAAGTCGGTCTGAGGATACAGGGAGAGCTCGGAGGACATGGGAGGCGGCCCAGGCTTAGCACGCGGCCAATGTCCCTGCCGACTTTCTCCACCTGCGAACTGCGAAGTTTCAACATATCTATATATATATATATATGTATATATATATTTTTTTTTTTGAATCGGCTAGTTCCTTAACTTAACAAAGTAACTAGCTAAGTACATACTTAATTCGTTCATTCATTAACCAGTGAATTGTCTAACTGATCACTTCATTGGCTCATTAGCTCATTCATGAGTCAATTCATTGATGGATTACTTGAGTAGTTCATGACGTGGTAAGTGAGTTAGTTAGTTAGTTAGTTAGTTGGTTGGTTGGTTGGTTGGTTAGTTAGTTAGTTGCCGAGTTAGGTAAATAGTTAGTTATTTATTTAGTAAGTTAGATAGTTAGTTGGTTAATTAGATAGTTAGCTAGTGAGCTAGTTAGCTGGACAGTTAGCTAGTTAGTCAGTTAGTTAGCTAGTTAGCTAGTTAGTTAGTTCCTAGTTGGCTAGTTAGTCCGTCAGTCAGTCAGTCAGTTAGTTAGTTAGTTGGTTATTTAGTTAGTTAGTTGGTTAGTTAGTTAGTTAGTTAGCTAGTCAGTCAGTCAGTCAGTCAGTCAGTCAGTCAGTCAGTCAGTCAGTGAGTTAGTTAGTTAGTTGGTTGGTTGGTTAGTTAGATAGTTGGTTGGTTAGCTAGTTGGTTAGTTAGTTGGTTAGTTAGCTGGCTAGTTAGTTAGGTTAGCTAGTTAGCTAGCTAGTTAGCTAGTTCAGTAAGTAAGCTAAACTAAGTTACGTTAAGTTAAGTTAGGTTAGCACACCCCATTATACAAACTCACACAACAATATCTTTTTAGAAATAGTTTGTGTATACATATGCTGCAATATGCTTTTTGCTGTTTACAAAGTCCGGTACAAGGCAGATGAAGTTTCAGCTCTACCTCCTCGAGGCCATCCAGGAATCCGGCTCCAGGACGAATCTGGTAGATCCTGGCAGGGCCAAGATGTCAATTTGACAATGAGCAAAAGCCCCTTCCCTCAGAGCCTTGGGTGGCGAAGAAGTGCCGCAACTCGTCCGTCCGAAAAGCACACGTTGTGGAAGCGGCAGTAGAGGCCTTGTGCCCCGCTACATGTCAATGCAATTTATACATAAACATACTATGCACACTGCTCTTCGCGAATGAGAGCCACACAGCTGACAGAGTTGCAAACCAGAGACGAGATTCCAAGATCCTAATGCTACAAGACTTACTATGCCTCGGCGTGCCAAGGGCGAGACTCACACTCTGCCGGTCCACGCGCACTCGAAAGTTCTGAAGATCTCAGTCAGAGACATGCAAACAGCCTTAAGTCGTCTATGAAACAAAGTGTCCCAGTGTCTCGGGGCCTGGCGCCTTGTGAATAAGTAGGCAATTTCTCCGGACCTAAAATTCCAAACTTGAGAGGTGAACGCGCGTCTCTCCGAAGCTACTACCCCTGAGCCAGTGCTTGCCTCGTGTTGGGGCCGCTGCATAATGCTGTGCTGGTCTGTCAGCCAGAGGCGAAATCGAGGTGGCTCCACCTGTGACAGTTGCAGCAAAGTTGCACCGCTGGCACGTGGCTTGTCCAGTGCATGTTGGAGCTACGTTGATTTATGCATCGCGGGCACTCGCTTGCGGCCTCCTCCGGGATCTTGACGGCTGGTAGCGGCCAGACAAAGGGCAGCGGAGATGGTCTAACCTTTCCAGCGAGTCGGATCCCGACGACGACGACGACGCGAAGTTATTACAAAAGAAACGGCTTGGCACAGATTACCAGCAAACAAGAGAGGGCGGTGCTGCTTCCGGTGAAAAGGTCTTCCAGGCATCCTCGAGACCTGGGAGACAATTTGTACATCAGAAATCGCGGGCCCACTATCACGGTGGGCCTTTATCTTCAGGATGCAGGAGGTTCAACAAGATGTCCGATCGCCTCGAGAAGAACAGATGACTATGCCATGACTCCACGAAATGGAGCGCACCCATCACCCCCCGAGCACCGCCCCAAGCGCCTTGCGGGCCAAGGCGATGAGCTTAAGACCTCTGCGAAGCAACGGAGATACGTGTCCCGCCCACGGCTCTCTCTGGGGCGCGGGCATCTGTAGAACCGAAGTACAGCAGCTCCTGTCAGCGAAAGACTCACTGGGCATTCCAATGCTCACCAACATGTGCCAGACATCGCACTTTCGCAAATGACTTGCTGCACGGAAGAAACATCATCTCCACCTCTGCAAGTGCCAGCATCTGCCGACGCACCTCGCTGCTCGAAGAGAACATGATGCAGGAGACATGCCACATGCAAAGGCAGACTCAACAACACTGTCTCTGGTAGTGAATATAGTACTGCCGTGGCCTCTGCACAGCCGTCTATGCGCAGTCTACAGGAACACTGCCGAGAGTTTCAGTCACGGTCTTGCGAGTCTGTTGCTTCTCTGCAGAAGGCGCGGGCATGGCCAACATGTCGTCGAGCGATCACTTCCAGAGCCGTGACCTGCGAATGGAAGTACGGCAGACAGCATGAATCGTACCAAGGTGCCCGCTCCTCGAACTCTCTGGAATCAGAGACCCTTTGCAAATGAACAGGGCTGCTGGAGGCTCGTGGGTGCCCTAGGCCTAGATCCCCCAAAGCGGTGGGAATTCCCATCTTTTCTTCTGCATCATCGGCAAGGCCTGCGCGCTAAACCCCTGAAAGCCAAGCCCCAAGGAGTCAGCTCAGCCATCGGCCAAGCCAAATAAGCAGGAGCTAGCAGAATCGCTCCATGCAGTAGAATGGCTCGACTGTGCTTCCTGGCATGCTGCTTCCGACGACACGCACAAACACACTCTCTCTAAGTCTCTTTCTCACACACAAGCTCAGACATGTTTGTACTCTAGAGATAGGGCGACAGACACAGAGACAGATAAACAGAAAGCTAGATAGATAGATCGATAGATAGAAACACAGGCAGACAGACAGATAGATAGACACAGAGATAACATGAGATAACTATAGTTTTCATATGGCATGAAAGTGACACTGTGCAACCGGTGGGAACCTCCACTGGGGGGCTTATAGGTTCGGGTCCCTCATTCTGAGAAATGTTAAATAGAATAGCTATGAGTTGTATGAACAGTTCATCAAAGGTGCCCTTAAATAGTCTTGCGCTCGTTTCATCCCCACTGGAATGACAAGAACACCAGGCCATCACTCACAGTTCGCCAGCAAGGTGACTTGTGGCGGCCCGGCGGCGGCAGATAGCGAGAAGACGTTAGAGGAATCCAGACGAAACTGCAGGAGTGCGAAACCAGAAATGGAAGCTGAGGGAGAACGAATGCCGCACGATTTAGGACGGACAAAGCACATATGGTGACAGAGGGATTCCTCGTGCGACCGGCATCCGAGAATGTACAGGCGAACAGAGAAGCACCGCTCAGTGCAGCACACGCCACCTTCTGCGACATGGAATATGGGCATCATCTTGGAACTCGTATACTGGACTGCTCTGCCCACCGAAACCCTAATCCGGTGCTGCTTTCCAAGTTTGGCTCGCCCTCAAAGAGTCCGAGCTTCCACCCGCTGTCCTGCAGCTGTTCGCCGAAGCTTCGAAGCTCTTCTGTCGGGCCACGGCCAAGGCCTAAGAAATGAGAAGGGGCTATGCGGCTATAGGAACCCCCATATAAAACCCTTGTCGTTACCCTTCTCCCTTAGAGCTTTTAATGCTTCCTGTAAGGGTTTCGGTCCGGATTCTACATGGGGGGGGCTCCTAAACCCTCATATGGAACCCTTTTAGACACGTTCTTTTTCGGTACCCTTATAGAAAATCCTAAACCCTAAACCCTAAACCGTGACAGGACCTGGGCTGAATGCTGGCCCAGCTCTGAAACACCGAAACCGACTCGTCGTAGGGCTCCTGGCGAATGCAAAGAATGGTGGCTTAGGGTTTCGGAACTTTAGGGTTTAGGGTTTAAAGTTTAGGTTTTCGGAAGTTTAGGGTTTAGGGTAAAATGGCAATGATAGTCGTAAGCAATAGTAACAGTAGTGAACTAATGATGGTATGACAGTAGCAGTCAGCTTTCCCTATCGAATGGCATTCCCTGCAGAGTGAGCAAGCTCCTGTGGAAACGATCCTTCCTCAACGGAAGACCTGGAATCACAAGTTCGAGACTGCTTGACATGCGACCGCAAGTGACTCTTGTGACTCTTAGCCACCTTTGAGGCCTTCAAATGCCTTCAAGCGAGTGTAAGGATGCGGCTCCACGGCCAATCTGTACCTTGACCAAAGAGCCGATGAGTTGCAAGATAGAGCCTGCACGACTTCGCCCAAGAAACGACAAAGGAGACGTGTTGCCGAAGGCCTCCGGAATCACCAGCCCGAAACTGTTGAACCTCAGGCACACTCCCATCTTCCCGATCCTAGCGGCGAGGATGTTCCTTCGATCCCGATCACATCTACGGCGATTTCTCTGGGGAGCGCCTGGCTCCGACCGACTGGTCAATGGCGGCCATTTGGTTGCCGTAGACCGCAGCCGGGCATCGGCATCAGCCGCTTCCGTTCTACGGATAGAGCCCAGGTGTCTATGGACTAAAAGGCTACCTGTCGGACCAGCTGTCCTGAGCAAACGTGGGCTCACGAGCTTCACTCCCCAGCCTTTTCGAAGAAAAGCCGATGCCCCAAACTCAAGAGCAGTCGAGCAGTCGAGACTCCAAGCCACTGCTACCACGCACAGCTATCAGCCATGCAACGTCGCTGCCAAGGGGCTTGAACTTACAAGTAGCCCGTAGCTGCGCCTTTTCCTTCTTTGCAGCTGATCTCCGCTACTAACGCATAATGCAGGCAGACTGGAACTGAGTTTGGCCGTGCTACCTGCCAGGATTAGGCCAGAAGTGTTTGCTGCATCATCGATGCGAGCGAACAAACATGGACATCCTCAGCGCGGTGGCGTTCGCGAGCGATGCTGTCGAGGAGAGTTGTCTGGAACCTCACGAAACATGTGTGTGTGTGTGCGCCTGAGGGCAGCGGCTCCCGTAGCACCCCAAACTTTTCAGCCGAGGTGCGGAGGTGATGACTTGCGACACTTCGTTGTGCAGAGCCTGCACGGGTCACTTTCTGGGAAGTGTGCCAGAAGGGCCTAGGAGAACTTGCTCGTGCCTACAATGCTATCATACGGACTTCTTGGATGCTAGTGGCACTGACAACAAAGCAACTCATGCTTCCCGCCTTGAACCGCTGGCGCAGTGCGACAATAGCACGCTCCAGTGCCACCTCTGCGAGAACACACATAGCAACATGCAGTTGAATCGCATTGAATCAGCCTGGTGTTAACGGAAAGCTCGACTCAGTTGAGATTACGGCTTCGCGTCCTTCAACAAAGTCGTGCCAGAACTCTGTGCGGGAAGCAGGTTCTGGCCTGCAGTACCCCGAGCGCGTTAGAAGAGCAGTGCAACATCGACAGAAAGAAGAGGTGTGCGGGAACGGCCCCGAGTACAGGTGAGCCTGATCACGTTGGCAAAGACAAAGCCTGCAGCACCGGTGGCACGCGGGGACTGCTGCGAGCAAGAGCTCATTGCTACGTAAGCCTTGCTGTATACCATAGCCCATCGCTGGTGTCAAGCCGTGTGCCACCAAGTAACGCTCGACATCCTCCAGCACTTGCAGGAGCTTCTCACCTTGCTCGGGAGTCCTGGCGTCAAGAAGTCAGAATAGGTGGATGTTGGAATCGCCTCTGCTGCAAGCCGACGGCCCGTCCTGGGTCCTCTGAAGTTCAGAAGAGCTGCAGCATCATGCATGTCTACAGCAGCGCCATGCACCTCCAAATCCCAGGCCACCAGGCGCCGCCATGCATTCGGATGTCTTGGCAACGAGCTGATACCAAGGGGGCCTTTTTGAGGTGGTCCTGAATGGCAGCGCATCTTGACCTGGGCTCTATAAATCTTCCCGGCGGCGCTTAAGGCAGAAATCTTCTAGCACGCGCACACGCACACACAACAGAGCAGTACCCGACGTTGGCCCAGCGCCAGACTCAAATATCCCTGCTTCGTCTCTGTTGGAACGATTCCCATCGTGTCGCCTGCAGAAAATCACAGGCGGGGTGCCAACACAGAACTAGTCAAACACTGCTGCACCGCAGCCGACACAACCCTTGATTTTGTGTCCACGTCTGCAAATGAAAATCGATACTCGATGCACCGCTTCTTGCGATGCTCGGCTTGCCGGAGCTTACGAGACATGAAACTTGTACCAGCCAAGCTGTTGGATCAGCGCCGCATCAATGCCGGCTCTTCGCCAGGCTTCAGGCGGCGCGCGACTAGCGTCGCCGAGTTGCCCCCGGGGTGCAACCAATCAGGCAGATCGCCAATGGGCCCCAGCATAGGGATCTGCCAGGTGCGATCATGTGTGCTTTCATACGATCCTGCTGTCTGTACTTGTCACTGATAGCTACACTCGAAGTGAATGGTGTCGATAGTTACGCTTGAAACTGTTGGTTCACCTACCAAAACTAGTACCAGGATGCGAGGGAAATCGGAACCGGGGGGGTGAGCCTCGTAGACGCAGAGGCCAGCTTCAGTGTCCAAGAAGGGGATGGGGCACTTGGAGAGGCTGTCAGGAAACGCCACCCTGGCCAGCAGGGTCAAGTAGAGCTCCTGGGATGAACCCGAAGATGACACGGAAGCTCACTTTTTGGTTGAGTTAGGTTTGGGGAGGTTTGGGGTTTGCTGCAGAGTTTTAGCTCTAGCTTCTCTTCGCCAGGGGGCGAGGGAGGCTTGTAGCTTCACCTTCTGGTCACCGCCATCCGGACTCGGGACTTCGACTTCGAAAACTCGCTCCAGCCCGAAGCCTGCAGGGCTTCTGACTCTGATATGGGGGCCTGCAGCTTGCGTAGCTTCTTACCTTTACAGTTCCTACATAATAGTACTGGATATACCCTAAAACCCTAAGTATACTAATGCCCGTCATAGCCCTAGACTGTCCCGGGGAATCTTGGTGAGAGCAGCCAAGAAACGCTCGAGGACCCACTTCAGTGCACCAAACTCCAAGAGCACGGGAGTGACCAAAGCTGCGCCGAAGGCTGCAAGGCGGCTGGTGATGAAACCACCATCGATGCGGCCAACATCCTCAAGCATCAAAGCCAGTGAAAACCAACTTAGCCTAGTGGCCTAGTACTAGTCGTGCGGTGCTACACGGAGATGGCATTCTGATGTGATCACCTTTGTGCTGCGCACAGAGAAGGCCCGATCCGGCATCCGTTTGGGGAAAACACTGCGGGCTCGGACTCTCGCAGCACCTTCTGCGCCCTTCGCGACCACAAACAAAAACAAATGGAAGCTTCACGATGCCGCTTCCCTGGATGAGAGCATGAGATGGGGTCGTGGTACGGCACTAGAACGGCAGCCAGTTCATGATGATTGGATGTCGCATGATGTCGCATGTCCTGCTACGGCCCTTACTCATACTAAGGACAGCCGTCACCGCGCCCCACCACCCTCCAGACAGCATCGTCAAGCTTGACCAGAGTGAACAAGCCGACCGGACTTATTCAAGTGCTGCTCGGGTGCCGAAGCCTGCTATATACACGACACAATCACCATGTGCTGTCTGCTTCCCACGAACCAGTACTATTCATCAAGCTATCTAATTTGGTGCGACCAGGTGGCTGGCCGCGGTTTCGGTCCGATGTCGATCCAGTATCCTTAGGCTCAGCCAGTCTTTGCAGTGCATGGAGCCTCGTCGACTTCCACCGTGCAGGTCACAGTTGAAAGCTTTGACAAGTGACTGCGAGCGGCGGCTTGTCTTTCGAGCCCTCCTCCTGCTCCTCCTGTTGCTGATACTACTCCTGCTGCTGCTGCTGCT